CAATTAATTATTGATGCTGGCGAAAATAACAAATTCAACATGTTAGCATTGTTTAAGCGTATAGCCTATACATCTTTAAGCGAATTGAATTTATCGCCTCCTTCCCTATGTAGATTGTTACGAATTCTTGATTGCCGTTAACGCCTTGGGGCCAGTCTCAGTGTGAAACTCGAGTTCCCGCGAGAGCAGCTACTTTCGGTGTTTGTAGTTCTCGGCGGGGGCGATTAACACGTATAAAATTTAATCTCTCAACGGCAGACGTTTAATCTTCCCTTTTCGCGACGGTTAGTCCGCTTTTCCCCGGCTTTCACGACGCCGGTTTACACGCGAGCGCCAGTTTTCCGCTAAATGTAACTTCTAGAGTGTCAGTGGTCACTTTTTCTGTCCCCGCCGGGCTAAAGAGATTGAAAAGCAGCTAAGAAGCGCGACCGCGGCCTCTCTATAATGAGCAGTTACGTCAAGAGAATTCCCTTGGACTCATTTTAGACTAGGCGAACGTGACCTCTTAATTTACTGGAGATTCGACTTCTTTTAGAATAGAATAATTGGTGATTTTCTGGAAAAATGCATTCGGCCGAAGGTTGATAAAATGATTAAGCTGATTCTCTATCCTCAAAACGGTGTATTATTTTCAATGGCGTCGCCCCGATTATTCGCGTTATCGGTCAGCCGGCCACTCCGGCTCCATTCTTGCGTCAACGGTGAAAGAAAAACGAGGGTGGAAAGAAAGAGGACGTAGTCTCGCGGTGACGTCAAACGTTAGTCGGCCACCGCCCCATTCCGCCCGTCGCCGCTTCCTTTTCCGCGGCGAATTTCACGGTTCACGGCTACGGAATATTTTCTTTTCGTTTTTTTCTTCCCTCTGTTCCCTGAAACCGCGGCGTTTACATCCGCGGTCTTCTTAATGAAAAATTCATTTCGCTTTTTTCCTACCACGGAGAAGAATCACAAGGCACGCACACTCGGCCTCCCTGGTTCTCGGCGAGTAACGAACAATCTCGGGGCATTGGCGGTGAGAATGAAAATTCATGGAATTCATGAATAATAGCATTGGGTTCGAGCGAAGAAACATGTCTGTCGGTCAGCAACAACCCGTGTCCGCCCCATTGAAAAATAAATTAAGGCGCCGGCGGCGGCGGCGGCGCCTCGGGTTATCGTCTCCCAGGGAGATAAATATTCGATCGATCCGGAGAAATTGACACTCAACCGCGGTCGGACGGCGCTGTTCACTCAACAGCCGCGATCATCTTTGCCCATTCTCTGGAAAGACGTCGTTCACGTTCGGCTATCTCCTATTCACAGGGGAAACTATCCGTTCCTCGACGTTTGCAAACGATATCAATTATCAATCTCTCATAAACGGTAGTTGACGATGCGCGATCCTCGACCTGATTCTTTTATAGACGATCTATCCCTAGTTCGAATTAGTCGCGCTCCATGTACCGTATTCTTCCTTTCCCGATTGTAAAATCTTATCGCAAAAATTCAGCTCAATCATTCCGTTTGAAAATAGCATCGAAAAAGGTCTTGGCTTTGATTCGAGACGTATTTCTTTCGAACTGCGACCGAGTGTCCGTGTCAATTACCCCGTCACGGACACCAACAGAAAATCGCATTGATTCGAGGGATGAGTAAAAGAAACAGGCATTGTGGCTTTGGTTCGCGGAGCATGACGAGTATAGAGATAGAAATCCTCGAGTCGAATTTTCGCCGAGCCGAAAAGGCAGACGCAAGCTGCGAGCAGTCGGTCTCGTGTACCGGACGGAATGCGAGTGGCCACGCTATGTCCGACCCAATTAAATTTCTTTCTGGCCACCGTCGCGCGACGCCGTCGTCTCGTTACTTCTTTTCATCTGGATTCGAGGTAAAATCATGCTGTTTAAACGCGGCGTCAGCGCGAACCCGAGAAAACGGTTATATCTCTCATCCTCTCTGGTTGCTGCCTTCTAAATAATTGCATTTTGCTGACCCGGCTTGTCTGATCCTCTTTCGCGAATATGCTCCCGGGAAAAATTACATTTTTCAGAATGTCCTTAATTGAATCGCATACCCCGTGATTAAACGGCAAAACACCGGCAAACTGTTCTCTACCCTGCCTGGAAATATAATATCATGGACGACCGGGATCGTAGATATACATACATACGTACGTACGTACGTATGTATGTATATCTACGATGTACTTGCGTACTATATATTCCTCGCTGTGTTTTATCGCGTTTTGTTTTCTGTCCTTAATCGACTTTGAATATGCTCGGCATTCTTAAAACGTGCTCCTCGTCATTCGTATTCCGTCCGTCTCGAGGAGACCTTGAGGACAGAAATGGGGTAAAAAAATCGACGTAGAGAAGGGCTGTGAAATCGATGCCGGGATTATTTCCTCGATAGAGCGAGATTCAAGTTATTGGTTACCGAAACTCAGCCTCGGGGACCCGCTGCTCCCCTACTCCTCCCACGGATTCTTTTCAATAAGGATGTGTCACCCTTTTTTACAAATAAGTGCCGTCTACTACTCACTGCCCCGACCGTTTTCCATCCCCGACGTTCGCATTTCGACGGATTCCGCGGCTCCCTTTTCATTCAAGAGACAGAGAAACTTCTCAAGGATTAGGAATTCATTACGACGGTTCCCGCGGCGCATCTTACAGGTCTGTTTCTTTGACGCCGCGATTGATACTTTCTTCCTTTCTCCTTTTGTCCCTGATGGCCATTGTGCTATTGCTTTTCACGAGAGATTGAGTTTGCCGGGCTTGATATAGAAAACGCGAGGAAATAAATTCCTTCTATTTTCTCCTTTCTTTCCTCGCTGTCTCTCCAGTCCCAAACTTGACAACCTGACTGTTATTACTCATCGAGGAAGAAGATAGGATTTTCCTTCGTTGTATTTTTTATAATTCCCTTCCCTGTTACGTGTTTGGTCAGCTCGCTGAAAGGGGTCCTGTATTTTAATCGCGTTTAAATATTAGAACAGAGGTGCAAGGTGGCTGGATAATACAATATTTATAGAGCCATTAACGCATTGTTTTGGATAACGCTGAGAGACAGCCGAGCTCGGGGAGTATATTTGCGGCGGAAACGGTGTTACTATAATTACACTGACCATTCCAGGCCCGGATACACACCGTGCGTTTACGTCTACTGCTATTTCTTCCTACAAAGGAGTCACTTTATAACTTTCAATCGAACGCGCTGCTCGCCCGTCATTCTTTCGGTGCGATAGAAAAAAAAAGGACAAGAAACGCGGGTTGGAGGCACAATCGATGGGCCTGTCGAGCGCAGATGAAAAGTGTTTGACATTGAAGTCGCTATGGGAATGAAAAAGATGGTTCCGGGCGGAAACACGAGCTGCAAGTTCGCGTGCGGCCTAGTATGACCTGGATTTTTGTTCTCCCCCCCATCCTTCTCGCCTCCTCGTTCCAACCGCTTCCTGGGGAGAGATGTTCCTGTACCAGCGAACGGTTTTTCATTTTCTCTCGCTTCCCTTTCCTCTCACACCTTTTTTAAACGCAAAAAGCTGCTGCGTTACCGTGCGCAGAACTAACGCGTAACGCCTTCGAATGAAGACGGACCCTCGAACGCGAGGTTCAATAACGATAAAGGAATTCAATGAATGTTTAAACAAAACGATATTGCCGCGAGGAGAAATATTACGGCTGGTACATCCACCTCTGTCTCTGTCGAAAGAGTGGAGATGCATTAATAATTACGCTACGGGGACGCGAGCAGGAGAATCTAATCTCTTAACGTCGCGAATTTGCATCTTATTAAAAAATAATTCACCGAGACGGAGAAGAAAGCGGAAGCGCTTCGCCTGTGCCTCGAGAAGAACGTAATTTCAAGCCGAATCACGGCCGAGGGAAACGAGAGGGAGAGATGGAGAAAGAGAGAGGGAGAGAGAGAGACGGTCGAGTCTTTCAGAAACCGCGGGCGAACTTCCACTCATTAAGAAAATTACGAGGGATCGGGAACGGAACAACAGTGCGAAACGTCGAGGATTATTATGTCTCTAGAAGTCATACGATTATGGATTTCAATGCATCGTATGCGGATAAATGAAATTTTGATGCTTCACGAGTTAAATCGCTGAATGATTTACATCCGTGGAACGAGAACAATCAACGTTGCTCGTTCCACAAAATTTATCGCTCGTCCACGAGAGACTTCGTTTTATTAGTTCATTTTTACATCTGCTCCCACTTTTCATTATCGGTCTCTCGAGCTGCCCAACGACCTCTCAGGATTATAGAATTCCCGCGAACAATCGTAGCGAATAAATCGCGCGGATTACATGTTAACGAGACGGCCCGAGGAAGCGCAAACAATTTAACTCAGCGCGGCCCTCGAAGTGTTGCATTTAAAAGAG